AAATCTCAAGGGAGCCGTCTTCTCGGGCAGCCGCGACTTGAGAGTCATCAGCGCTGGAGGCTAGCGCTACTACAGGAGATGGCTTCCATTCAATTGAAGAATTCCGATAACACTCAATCATTTTTTCCAACAAACAATAGAAACTAAAAAAAAAAAAAGTTAGTTGATTGGTGTTGGGACCGACCCAAGCAAGAACTTGGCAGAGAAATAGGGCATCGAAGACACAGAAAAGCAATTGAATGAAGGGAGAGGCGACCAGGTTTAGAAAAAAAAAAGTAGTTGCAGAGGAAATAGGGCAATCGAAACACACAAGAAAAAAAAAGAAAGGGAGAGACGAAGGAGGCGACTAGGTTTAGAAGGGTTTAAGGAGCCGAAGCGGGAGGTATATAAGGCCGGTTCATGGCTTCTGCTTCTTTCGACTTGAACCAAGAACCGGTTTTCTTTTTTCCTTCTTTGTCCTTTTTTTTTTTTTTTTTACGCGAATATCACAATTTAGGTTAAAATTTTCGACTTCGTCCTAACGGTTTAAAATTTTGGATTAATAAATTATAATTGTCCAGATCGGACTTCCCCTCGCGGATCTGCTAGGGAAAGTTTCTACTTTATAATAGTTTGTTCTCCTCTCCAACCAACGTGGACATCACAATCTACCCCTTTTAGAGTTAAGTGTTCTTATTGGCACATCGTCTCGTGTCTACCCCTCTTCGGAGAACGGCGAGAAGGCTGGCACATCGTCTAGTGTCTGACTCTAATACCAACTATAACGACCCAGATCCACCGCTAGTAAATACTGTCCTTTTTAGGCTTTCCCTCAAAACTTTCAAAGCGTCTGCAAGATTTCCATGCTGTTATAAAGGTTGGTTCTCAATGTGTCAATTATTGAGTCCTTTCATTTCCAAATTCAATCATTTTAATTTTACATTTAGTAAAAATATTTAAAATTTCAGTTTTTAAGAAGACACGTATTTTTTCTAATTTGTTAATTATTAGAAAAACAATATATTCTATTTTTTCTTCTTTTCCTCTTCTTTTACCTTCTATTAATTCCTCAATTTTTTTTCTATCAACTTTATATTTTGTTAATATTTTTAAAATTTACCTGTATTATAAATTTTATTATTAGTATTTAAATTTACAAATAATTACTCGATAATATATGTTAGTTTGATAGATATTCAAACGTGATAGGATATATATCAATAAAATTTCATTATTATTCATATGTGACTGAGAATCAATTAGCATGAAATGAACTGAATCACATAGTTTTTTAAAATTTTTATAAAGGATCTCCCGCTATCCATCTGCTAAACATTATGCCACTTTGGTGCTGCATGGTTTGCGGTGTGTGTCCTCCGCCCTGTAAATTTCATACCAAAACAATAAACAATTAATCACTACATGAACTTTAAAAAAAAAAAAAAAAAAAAAACCAAATATTTACTTTTATGGATACAAATGTCATGTTGTTTGCATAAGTCCTCGTGTACCTGTCCAAAATTAATATCACTATTGAATCATTCACATAAATCATATGAAAAATAATATTATAAATGAAATAATTACCCAAGAATTTGATCCTCCTCGTTAAACCAAGGCCTCCATTCATCAGTAAGTGAATAATTTAGAGATTTGATCCAGGCTTCAGTGTCTAAAATCGGCACCTCCATATCATGATCCCCGCTAAAAATCAAAGACCTGTAGCCCTTAGAACTAAGATTCATATGATAAGGAACCATACTTGTGAAATCATACTGGTAATCTTTTTTACTTTGACATCTAAACCATTCTCCGACCGTTCCCTGTAAAAAAAAAAACATTCAATACAATTCTTTAAGAGTGTTTCAATCAATAGGTTAAGTTATGTTTTTACCTCACGTACATGGAGAGCTTTCCGAACTCGATCGTTATTAGCCCAATAATAACTGAGATAAAACGCATACTCCTACGTACACAAACACGATTTAACATGATCATACGAACTTCCCAAGCTACGACAACAAATTAGAGGAACAAAGTGCATAATGAATTTACATCACACTCGAGAGAAATCGAAGGTAACACTCTGGGAGAAAGAAATAGTTGTTCAGAAGCATTGTAGAGGGATCTCCTCGCATCATTAAACGTAGCAGCTTCCGTCGCTCTAGTAGCATCCTCACAATGAAGCTTCAAAATATTCCCCGTGTTGATTCTACTCACGCACTTGGATGACCGACAAAAATAGATATCAAATTTAAATACCAAATTGCTAGGAATTACATATCTCCAAAATGGTAGAATATTATCACTTATAAACCTATAAACTCACTCCCAATTCTTTGAGCATGGCTCTAATACCATGTTAGGAATCATGACTCTCCACAATGGTATGATATTATCCACTTTGAGCATAAGTTCTCGTGGTTTTGTTTTGGGCTTCCCCAAAAGACCTCATACCAATGGAAATAGTATTCCTCACTTATAAACGCATGATCATTCCCTAAATTAGTCAATGTGGGATTCACTCCCAATAATCACCATATCATACCTTTTGGTAAGCGGATACATGTTTGATGCACTCCACATTAGTTGGATCAACGTTATGATATTCTCCTTTGCAGCTGCTTTTCAATGACTATACACATGAATTAATAATAACACTTAAATTAGGGCTCAAATTCTTGTGTGTATGCACTTCTCTATGCACGAGGAACTTGATATTACCTCGTATAGTTCATCAGAGATGAAGGACATCCTATGAGCATAAGGAATCTTATAATTATCATTTGTTTTATGCACACTGAAAGGATTGCCCTCTATGTATCCCTAAAACACAAAAGAAATTAAGATTTGGTAATTGATCATCATCAAACGGTAGGTTGTCAAGTGAGTAAAGGGTAACAGACCTGAAGGTTTATAATTGGGAAGCCATGGCTATTACCTTCTGAGATTGCTTGAGTAAGAGATGGAACAATCATACCAGAATACGAGCCACCACCAACATAAAATGGGTTACGAATGAATTCTGGATGATCAGCCAGCCACTGCGAAGCTCAAATTCATAAGGAATTGATATCAAACCAATGATATCTGACGAGAGTGTGCATATACAATGTGTACCTTCCGCAAAAATTGATGATTTTGTTCAACTTGTAGTACATCTCCTTTCTTCGAACCTCGTCGAGTTTGAGCGTATGAAAATCCAGTGCCCACCGGTGTATCTATAAATAGTATATTCGCTTTCTGGTATATGTCATCATCACCATTAGTTTAGCTCAAGATCATCACCATTAGTTTAGCTCAAGATCACTGTTAGTTTAGCTTAAGTCCACCCCTAATAAATATTGTTCCCTTTGACTCATTACGTACCTCCATCAATATTAAAGTTTTAAAACACCTTGGTCAAGAAATATTCCTACGCAAGGATAAGAAAAGTTTTGTTCTCCTCCTGGACGTGGGATCTCACAATGGTTAAAGAATGTTAAAATATCTACACCAATCCAATAGGATTAAGCTTAACCATTGTATCAGTAATTATATTTATGCTAAAGAAAATAATTCAAAGGATTTTAAGAATAAATTTAGGGAAAAGTGATTTAAGGATTTTAGGAATAAATTTAAGAAAAAATGATTGAGATATTTTATGAAAAATTTGACAAATAGATGGACGGGTATAGATACCCCTTCAATTTACTTAGTTCATCATCGCAAGAAATCCCAATACAAAAAGTAGTTTTTACAGAGTGTCGGGTAAATCTCATCCCAATTTGTCTTAATAAAGTGTGCGAGTGTTTCCTAAAGAGTTTTGTTCAACAGAGGAGTGAACAAAGCACTCTTAAAAGGGTATGAAAACTTCTCTCTAATAGATGCGTTTGAAAATCGTAAGGTAGACGATGATAAGTAATTAACTAAAGATGACTAGATCTATTAACGATGGGTTTGAGCAGTAACACGGTATAAATTAAATAGAAAGGCAAAAGTGAAAAATGGTTGTTACCTTAGTCCATGTATGGGGATTCAAGATTAATTGAGGTACGCTTCCATTGTATGGCTCTATCTTGAAGTTTAGAGGGCCTTTAAACAAATACAACATCCAATTAACAAATCGAAAAATGGAAGATATTAATGAAAATTTTAAAGTGCTGTTCCCTTGCTCCACCTCCGACAAACTCCCTCGACGGTCCCCCAGTCTCCGGCGAGCAACAGCCGAGGGTGGTGAAGCGAGGAATGAGAGGAAGATAAAGTTAGAAGGGGAAATTGTAGAGAGTACCAATTTCCAAGGCAAAGCCACAGAGTGCAGAGCAACCTGGACCGCCGATGTACCATGTCATTAGAGGATCGGTTCGGGGATTTCCTTGGGACTTCACAAAGTAATAGAACACCTGAACTTCCTCCGAATCTCCCACACCCACGTATCTGTTCCGCTTCCAAAACAAAGCGGATTAATAACTACTGTAACTCTAATTACAAACAAAAGAAGGAGGAACTCGGAAAGAGCCTAAACTGACCCAGTTTCGAGTTCAAATGGAAGAGGCCCTGAAAATCCTGGCAGATACTTCACACTCCAGGATGAGCCTGCGGCGGCGGAGAGCACCTGAAGAAGAACAACAAGGAAGAAAACAGAACACCTGAAACCACCCGGAGTGGCCATTGGAGAAATTCAAGATAATGTGCACCCGCTTTTCGAGTACTTCCCTTTTATTTGTACAGCTAAAAGAAGAGGTTTTCACTTCCACACAAAATGTGATCAGAATTTCATACTTTCGATCGATTCCAGCTGACCACTACTTCTACCTACCCAAAACTTATAATTGTATCGTTTAAAACGTCGGTGAATCTTTTTACTTTATAATTATATCATTTAATCTATTTGGAAATTTGCTCCAAAGAAACTATTATTTGGGATTTTTTTTTAAAAAATAATGTATAGAAACTTTTAAATAATATATTTGAAATGAAATTATGATGACAAAAATCTTTTATCTTTCATGTAATTATAGTGATGGAACATTTGCAACGAATACACTGAAACCGACTTGATTATTGACTTCATTATCTACCACGAAAACCATGTTTTCTATTAGTGATACTTAAACGAGTTTTCATCAATATAAACAGATCGTAGAACCTTTCACTATACAAATATATCAACAATTTGACAAGAACTTGCTAGTGTTCGAACGGATCATATCGTCTTTCGGGCTATCCATCTATTAAACATTATGCTAGTTTGGTATTGCATTGTTTGTGGTGTGTGCCCTCCACCCTGCAGATTTCATGAGAAAAAGAAAAAGAAAAACAGTCAATCACTGCTTAAAGAAGAAAACTTGGCCAATAATTATTTACTTTTTCTTACTTTTATCGTGGCAAATGTCATGTTGTTTGCAAAAGTTCTCGTGTACCTGGCCAAAATTAATATCACTATTAAATCATTCAAATAATCATATAAATCAACTTGATAATATAAATAAAATAATTACCCAAGTACTTGATCTTCATCGTCAAACCAAGGTCTCCACTCATCGACAATGGAATAATTTAGAGACTTGATCCATGCTTCAGTGTCTAGAATCGGCACCATCATATCATGATCCCCACTATACCATAGAAAAAAATATTTATACGAGAGAAAAAAAAAAAAAAAACCATTTATCAAGAGTTACAACTCAATACCTAAAAATCAAAGATCGATAATCTTTGGAGCTAAGATTCACGTGATAAGGAAGAACATTCGTAATATCAAATTGATAATCTTTTTTACTTTCGCATCTAAACCATTCTTCAACCGTTCCCTAAAAAAAATAATAAAATAAAATAAAAAAGAGGGTTGTACATTCAACTCAATTTCTTAAGAATAGTTCAATCAATAGTTTATCTTCTTACCTCGCGTATATGAAGTGCTTTCCGAACTTGATCGTCGTTGGCCCAATAATAACTAAGGTAGTATTTATACTCCTTCATAGCAAGAACAAGCAGAAACACAAACACGAACACAATTCAAGATCATAGGATCTTCCTTGTCTTTGAGAGCAAAGAATAACCAACTAAGGAGACTGGAAAAAGGAAAAGTCTAGATTTTACATCACAGTCAAGAGAAAGAGGAGGTAACACTCTAGGAGCCAGAAACAGATTTTGGGATGTATCATAGAGGGATCTCTGCCCACCAAACGTATTTTCTGGCGCTCGAGAAGCATCGGTACAATAAGGACACATAATACATGCTAAACTGATTCTACTCACACACTGGAACGAAGAACAAAGACAAAAAGAATGTATCAATTTTGGGATCGAGAACTTGGAGGTTCGAATACGAGTTTTAGTAAACAAACCTTTTTATATGTAGAAACATGTTTGATGCACTCCAAATTAGTTGGATCGATACTCTCAAATTCTCCTTTGCAACTAGTTTTCAATGACTAGACACGAATTAATAGTTACATTAGTTCTCTAATTCTCTCATTCACTTCTTTTCTTTGCTCAACAAGCTCTATATTACCTCATATAGTTCATCAGAGATGAAGGACATCTTATGAGCATAATGAACCCTATAATTATTAACTGTTCTGCGTACACTAAAAGGATTTCCTTCTATGTATCCCTATGATGAAAAACATTACAAAAAAAGAGTTAGTAATTAATACTCGTGTCATCAACGTGTAGCTAAATGAATAAACGACAACGGACCTGAAGGTTTATAGCTGGGAAGAGATGTTTATTTCCTATGACATTAGTTTTTTGTAAACAAAAATTAGAAATAGTGCAATCTACACATCCAATACCCAGATTATGAATGGTTTATACCTTCTGAAATTGCTTGAGTAAGAGGTGGAATGATGATACCAGAATACGAGTCCCCACCGACGTAAAATGGATTAGGAATGAACTCTGGGTGATCAGTCAGCCACTACAAAGTTCAAATTCATAAGGAATTGATATCAAACCAAGTTAGGGAGCTTGAGTTTTGATGTGAGCATGTAGAATACGTACCTTTCGCAAAAATTGATGATTTTGTTGAACTTGTACTAGATCTCCTTTCTTCAAGCCTTGTGGAGTTCGAGCATATGAAAATCCAGTGCCCACAGGCATATCTATAAATAATATACTGGCTTTCTGGCAGATATCACCATCACTATTGCAAGTTAGTGTCATTGCAAAAGAAATAAAAAGGTGAATAATTGTTACAACCTTGGTCCATGAATGGGGATTCAAGATCAGTTGGGGTGTGCTTCCATTGTATGGCTCTATCTTGAAATTTACTGGACCTTCAAACAAATACAACACACAATTATCGCTTCAAACATAAATGCACAAACATTGGTGTGTTTGGGGTGCTGAGACGCCCTTGGCATTATCTCGAACACTACGTGTGCACACTTTCTTGCTTGTTTCTAAACGCTAAGCCATAAACTTCCTAGAACTTTGATCTTGCTCTAAATGCTCAAAGTCTATCAGCAACCAAATATAAACGTGAAAGTATACATTGAATTCACACAAACTAGAATAAAATAAAGGCTAACTACAGCACATTTTTGTGTGTTATCAATCAAACCCAGGTTTAAATAAGCCTAAAAGGTCATTAAATGATAACTTGAACCAAAATTCACAGAGTAAGGCCCAAAACCAACACACAACTCAAATTCAAATGGCTATGAATTTTCAGATTTGAAGCGAGGAATCAGAGGAGGGCAGATGAAATAAGAGAGATATGTTGCAATAGAACTAAAGGTAAATTGTAGAGTACCGATTTCCACGGCGAATCCAGAGAGAGCAGAGCAACCGGGACCTCCGATGAGCCATGTCATTAGAGGATCGGTTTGAGGATTTCCTTGGGACTTCACAAAGTAATAAAACACCTGAACTTCCTCCGAATCCCCCACACCGACATATCTATTCCACTCCCAAAACAAAACTTAGTCTCAAATTCTAACTCAAAACACCAAACTTAAACTGATCACTAATTACTTTAACTCTAATTAGAAACAAAAAAAAAAAAAAAAAAAGAGGAATTCGAAAATAACCTAAACTGACCCAGTTTCGAGTTCAAACGGAAGAGGCCCTGAAAATCCTGGCAGATACTTCACACTCCAGAATGAGCCTGCAGCGGCAGCGGAGAGCACCTGAAAAAGAAGAACAAGGATAGATCTGAAACCACCAAGAGTGGCCATCGGAGAAATCCAAGCGCGCCAAATTCGAAAGAAAACCAACAAGATATGTGGTTTTCTTTTCATTACGAATGTAGGAGTCGAGAGGGTTCTGATGATCATTCCATCTGCAACAAACCTTCTGACTTTCGTGGGTCCAGTTGTCCAATGTATTCAATATCTTTACATTTTTTTACTGCGAAGCCTCAGTCAAAAAAGCACTTTCCTTGAGGTAAAACTTAGAACTTACTTTTATAATATGCAAATGTTAAATTTTATTCTTGGGTTTCTTTGTAAATAATTTGATTGGTTCCATAAACTCTTCGTCTATATTACTATTTCTTCAAGTTTTGGTACATACCTATTAATTATATTTGTAACTTAAATTTTTTTAATTGTTATTGAATTATATAATTTAAATAGCATAATTTATAGTTTATCCAAAAATATATATCTCTTGGAAATTTCAAGATACCTTTAATTTTCTATTAATTTTAGATAAATATCATTATTTTTAATTTTTTTTTTCTAAAATATCAAGGACATTAAACTATATTACATCATAAATTATTTTCAAATTTTATTACTATTATTTAGAGTATTAATACTATTTTTAATGATTTCATATCTAACTAATTTTTTTAAGTTAAAAAAATAGGGTATTGATTTTTTTTAAAATAAAAGTATTAATTTAATTTTTGCGAGTGTTTTGAAAATTAAAATGCATTTTTTAAACCCATTGCAAAGTTAATTAGTATTTTTTAAATAAATAAGAACTATTTCTATCTAAAATTAATATTTTTTTATTTAATTTTTTTTAAATGTATCATTGAGATAATAATGTATTACATTTTTTTGTAATGATTGTTTTAGCATTTTAATAATAACATTATTATTGTATTCATAATTTATATTTCAAATTTTAAAATGAATGACTTATTAAAATACAATTTTTTTTAATATAAATATAGCATCTCATTCCATAAGTTTATTTAAATTTGTTAAATTAGAAAAATATCATTTTGATTGTATTTTAGACTTAATTAAAAAAAAAAGATTTATGTTTTCAAATGTTATGAAATAAAAATAAATAAAACATTTGAAAGTATATGAACCAAAATATCCAATATATTCCTAAATTTATTAATAATAATTAAAATTCTAACTTAGTATTTAATTTATAATAATTGATATTGGCCAATTGGGCAAAGTTGCTTTTTGTTTCCGTAAATTTGGCTAATCCATTTAGTAGCCGAAAAAATCCAAATTATAGTAAAAAAAAAAAAACTAACCTCTGTAATTAAAAATGTATTTTACCTAAAAAAAAAAAAGTTTAAAATTTGATTCCAATAATATTCTAGTTCCGTCCTTGTCAATTCAATTCTAAAATTGACATACAACGCTTCAACACTTACATTCATAATAATTTTATTGTCTATAAATTTGGTCATTATTGATGGCTAAAAATGTCTCAATTTTTATTTATATTAAAGTTTATCGAACGTCTATCTAATTGACATTTTCAGTTCTCGATAATTCTAAATTTATATTTAATAGCCATCGACCACTTAAAAAGCTTTTAATTTTACACTATTTGTTGATGTTTTTTTGACCTACAACATAGCACCTAGATCGTCAAGAGTAATATGTTGCCGACATTTATTAGTAGTTAATATAATATTTTTATTGACGGTTTATAGACATCGACTTATACTATAACGAACATTTTGAGACTTTAACTATAATCCTTTTATTCACGCTTCTATCTCTCAATTATAACTATTTTATTAGCTAAATTAATAAAAGCACTCGTAAATTTAATATGAAGACTACAAAATACCTAAACTTTTAAAAAATTTAATAATACCCTTAAATTAAAGTGTTTTATATTATAAAATACATTTGAATTTTAAAAAAGTTTTAACGATACCCTTCAATTGGTTTAAAAGTTAAAAAATATAGATTAAAAAATAATTACAAAAATTTAAAAGCAACATTAACCTTATTTTTTAACTTGATAAAAAAAACAATCTTACATTAATATATGGATAAAACAGACTACAAAGGCCTCATCAATTCTCTACAAACTTTTGGAAGTTTATGAGTATTTTTAAACGGGTACTAACCATAGTAATAATTTTTATTTTAATTTTTTTAATTAAAGGTGTTTTTTAAAAAAGTATAATATTAATGTTTTTTTTTAAGTTTAAAGATTAAAATATCAATATTATAAATAAAAAAATTTCAAAATTTTTTTGTGAATTTTTTTTTGGTTAATATTAAATTTAAGATAATTTTTTTTAGCTGTATTTTATTTATGTTTTATTATATATATTTGAAAAACTACACGTGGTTCGAATTCCTAGGAATTTGAATATGGAGGGCATCTTACATCGATACACAGAAATCAATAACGTCCCTTCCTTACCACACAACATTATAATAAAATTATAATTAATTGGGCTTTTTAAAAACTTCACATTAAAAAATAAAAAATATTTAAATACCGAAAGTTTTTAATAACATTATACATTTTCCATATATAACACTCAGAACTTGGAATAAAAATTTGAACCATATTTTACAAGAAAACCATGCCAATATGTTAATAAATTAATTTAAAATTGGAGGTCCATTTTTTCTTTCAACTCTCATTTTATTTTTATTATAGAAAAAATATATATTTAAACAAATAATTTATTATTTGTTGACAGTGGGGGAAAATCAAGTTTATGGTTTGAACTTTGACCAGTCTGATTAGGCAAACTGCGAAATGCGTCCTCTCATGCAGTTGCTTCCCTCACCGCCAACAAAATACTGACACGTAACCATGGGAACCGTGTGGCTCTGTCACCTACACACTGTTCTAAATCACCCACAGCTCACCATTATTTTTCTCTTTTCAAATTTCAATACTATAATTTATAAACAAATAAATCCAAAATTAATTCATTAATATTGAAAATAACAATGGGTGAGATTAAGTTGGGGACTGTCTAAGATATTTATAAAAATTTTAAAATATGGAGTATGAATTGGTTATATAATTTATATTTAAAATTAAAAAAAAAACCATATGATTGTTCCATAATGGATGGTTTATAATATATTGTTGTATAATTTTGAGGGTAACATCAATCGCTTTTTTATTTTGACCATTTGACCATCCCAACTCCAACCGAGGGACCATTCCCAGATGACCACAAAAAAATAAAACCCCACCAAATAATTAATAAAATAAATCACTTTATCAGAAAAGAAAAAGAAAAAACCGGTGAATACGGTGATAAGAATGGGAAAAGGTGAGGCTACACGTGTGGCTCCCGGTAAAGTTACGGGATATAGCCGGTAACTGGCAGTCAAAAACCCTGAATTAATTTAATTGGTAATTAGGGGAAAGAAGAAAAATAAAAATAAAAAGAGGGTTTGGATTTTCATCTCCCTGGCCCAAGCGATGGAAGCGACTCGGTAGAACTTAGCGTTTCTCTCTTTCTCAGTGCCTACCGTTCATTCGTGTCTTAGATCCTTCAATTTTTCGTCCGACATTTTATTTTTCCGGGGTGGTTTTGAGGGATGAAAGTGCACTGTTGTTAAGTATGAGTGATTTGCATTCATGGTAGCGATTTTGATTGCTTGTTTTTTTTGGGGGTTTTTGATGATTTGGCCCTTTTTGTGGAGCTTCGAGAGGAAGTGAGCTTCATTTGTGGTGTTGATGATGACTAAGGCGATGGTGAAGAAGAAGAAGAAGGGGTTTCTTTTGACTAAGGAAAGGGTTCAGTTAAAGGAAGAAAAGGATGTCCCCATTCGCCATTTTTGCTGCTTGTGATTGTTGTCAATGCGAAGGATAGCTGTATGCTAAAAGATTGTGGAAGAAAGAGAAAGTAAGTAAGAGAGAAACCCCCTTTTTCTTTTCTTTTCTTTTCTTCCCTTTTTATTGTTCTGTCTTTGCGTTTGAATGATTGAATCCATTCGTGTTTCTGTTGGTTGCTGAAAGTTGAATTCAATAGCTCGTTTTTGTTTTCTGTTCCAGGGATTTTGGGTAATTTTTCTTTTCTCTCTCTCTTGAGATTCATTTGTTCTTTTGAGGGTTTTGTGAAAATGCCGATGTACCAGCCTTCTTCCGGTCGGAGGAGAGAGGCCGATTCGGAGATGGGTTTGGGTGGTGGTGGTGGTGGGCAAGTTCTTGATGTGGAAACCGCCGTGAAAGATGGTATTCTTGGCGGCGGTGGGTTAATCTGCGACGGCGGAGGGGCTGAGAAATTGGATCTGAAGGAGATAGTGGAGGAGCTTGAGAACATTGAGGTTCCTTCGGTTTTTATTTGCCCAATTTCATTGGAGCCAATGCGAGATCCTGTGACCCTTTGTACAGGACAGACCTATGAACGATCCAATATCCTCAAATGGTTTTCTCTTGGCCATTTCACATGTCCCACCACAATGCAAGAGCTTTGGGATGATTCAATCACCCCCAATAACACTCTTCACCAACTGATTTACAGTTGGTTTTGGCAGAAGTATTTGGCGATGAAGAAGAGGTCTGAGGATGTGCAGGGGAGGGCTCTTGAGCTCTTAGACACTTTGAAGAAGGTCAAGGGCCAAGCCAGAGTCCGAGCTTTGAAGGAGCTTCGACAAGTTGTTGCCTCGAATTCTTCGGCAAAGAAAACCGTGGAGGACAATGGCGTTCTTGGTTCGATTTTGTCTTTGTTAGGTCCTTTCACATCCCATGCGGTTGGCTCCGAAGCCATTGGGATTTTGGTGAACTTGGATCTCGATGCCGAGTCGAGAAGAAACCTTGTTCAACCTGCGAAGATTTCATTAATGGTGGATATGTTGAATGAGGGATCCACTGAGACTAAAATCAACTGCACCAGATTGATTGAAACTTTGCTGGATGGTGATGATTGTGGGGCAGACACTGTCTCGAGTTTTAGTCTCTTAGTTGGATTGCTGAGATTAATCAAAGAGAAGAAACACCCAAATGGTGTTCTTGCTGGGTTAAGATTGCTAAAAGCTCTGTGCTGCCAAGAACCAGTGAGGAATTCAGTAGTGAGCATTGGGGCAATCCCACAATTGATTGAAATTCTCCCA